GCCTAAGTATTAGATGAGCTGATACATTTGAAGTGCAGGAAGTGTGGTGTGTTTCCTGTTAAAGTCATCTTAATATCTACTAAATACTAGTTAGCTTTTGTCATCTGGGGAGATTGCTGCTAAGAATGCAGATCCTGTGAGCTCAGTGCTTGTTCTGCTGCTGTGTTGCATGTGAGGCTGACCTGTTGCCAATTAAGTGACTGTTTTTGCTTTCCTCAGTTCCCCGGAACCAGCTTCAGTCGGTGGGCAGCGGCCTGTAAAGTCCTCATTGAGTTTTCTCTCCTTCGTCTGGAGAACCCGGATGAGGCATGTGCTGTGTCCCAGGGTGAGAGGAGAGGGTCCATTTGTGGCCCTTATTTTATTTATTTATTTATTTATTTTTTTGGTTTTTTTGGTTTTTCGAGACAGGGTTTCTCTGTGGTTTTTGGAGCCTGTCCTGGAGCTAGCTCTTGTAGACCAGCTGGTCTCGAACACACAGAGATCCGCCTGCCTCTGCCTCCCAAGTGCTGTGGCCCTTATTTTTAAAACCAGCTGTAAGTATGGGAACTGGATGAATGGTGTCAGACTAAGGTGGGTAAACCTTTTCTGAGGTTGATCAGATAGTTGTTTGTGGGCCATACTGTGTCTCTTGCAGCTTGCCAGCAGTCTATGCTGCAAACACAGGAGTGGAAATGAATATGCTATATCCTGCTAGCTGTAGACAGGCTAGAGTCTCCCAAGGATGGAAAGTTTCTGTATGTGTAAGCAGGTAGCAGTGAAAAGGGTGTGCTGTTTGACAAGTTGGCAGGCTTGGAAGAAAAGGGACCAGGCCTTACCACACTCTGGCTATGGCTGATTGTTACCATGCAGGAATGGAGGCATCAAGCTAGCCTGTTGTGGATAATTGAGACTCATAAGGAATCTAAGTTTGTTTTAAGGCCTTCTGTTTTTACAAAAGTTAGCCACAGCTGTAGTTGAAAACAGAAAACAGTTATGCAGTCTGTGAGAGTAAGACATTTGCAAACTGATTAACTCTCAGTGACCTCAGTTTGAGATCTCTGCCTGTGTATTTTTCACTGAAGTTATGTTTTTTTCTCTCCTCCCCCTTCTGGGGCCCCCCGGGACTGTGGTACATTCCCAGCCCTTCACACGGCAATTATTTGTGTGCACCTAACTCAGACCCCGCACTAGTTAGACTCCCCAAAGTACAGAACCGTCTAAAAGACGTGTGGATATGTTTTGTTTTCAGAAACACTTGATTCTGCTGATCAAAGGCCTGTGCACTGGCTGTAGCCGACTAGACAGAACGGAAATTATCACCTTCACAGCAATGATGAAGTCCGCCAAGCTTCCACAAACAGTTGAAGACGCTTTCAGATGGTGTGTGTCTGACACCCCTACTTACATGACCCCCTCTGTGGCCACTGTTGCTTTTTGTTGGCATTCTCCCTCATCTTCCCCCCCCCCCCCTTTTCGTTTCTGAATTTTGTAGTGGAAGATCAGAAAGAGCTGGCGTCTCCAGTAAGCCCTGAGCTAAGGCAGAAGGAGGTACAGATGAATTTTTTGAACCAGCTCACCTCAGTTTTTAACCCTAGAACCGGTACCATCTCCTCCCATTAGTCCACAGGCTCTGGTGAGTTCTTTACCCAAATATCCTCATTTTCATGGAATATGTTAAGATGATAGAACTGAGAAAAGATTATATTTTATTTAAAAATATAGCCCCCATTCTCCCTCTCCCCCCTAAAAAAAAGTCAGTGGGTGGTGGCATACCCCTTTAATCCCAGCACTTGGGAGGCAGAGGTAGGGGGTTCTCTGAGTTTGAGGTCAGTCTGGTCTACAGAACAAGTTCCAGGACATCCAGGGCTGCACAGAGAAACCCTATCTTGAAAACAAAACAAGATACAGTATACCATTTTGATCAGGAAGGGAGCATACAGGTGATGATAGAGCCATAAAACTTTATTGTCTGGTGACCTTGTAGACATCTTGGTTTGTGGTAAGTTTACTCAGGTACTTGTCCAATGACAGAATCATGCAATGAGGCATTTCTTAGACTATATTCCCACCGTTAAGTGACGGGCTTTGGTGGAAGAATATACAAAACAAATCATACCAAATGATTTGCCTCCCATCTTCCTTTGTGTGGTTTGGACCATTTGTGGGTCATTCTCTCGTGCTTTCCTCAGTGTGAATGCCACAGAAACATGTGCAGATTTCCTCACAAGGCTCCCACTCTGGTGAAAACATACAGTTCATGAGCTGTTTATGTCTCAACTTCGCTTGTATTTTCTCCTGGGTCAGCAGTTTCTCACTTGTAGCTGAATGTCCAAGCATTTCCAAGAAGCTGCCTTGTTGTACCCAGCATGGTGCCTGGCAGCAGGCAAGTGGTCATGCTAGGGCCTGTGTTTCTCTTCAGGTGGAAGGAGAAAATGATGAGCAGCCATCCACAGATCAAGCCTCTGCTGTCAAGACCAAGAACGTGTTCATAGCTCAGAATGTGGCTAGCCTTCAAGAGCTTGGTAGGAGCCTGTCTGCTGTTAGAAAGCTGATCTATATGCTTACCCAAATATCTTGCCTGTGCTTCTTCCATGTGGAGAAGGACCAGGCTTCAGACAGAGGCCCATTGGACAGTGTGTCTTTTTGTTAATCCAGGTGGCTCAGAGAAGCTGCTCCGAGTGTGCCTGAACCTGCCATATTTCCTGCGCTACATCAATCGGTTCCAGGATGCAGTGGTAGCCAATTCCTTCTTCATCATGCCTGCAACAGTAGCTGATGCCACTGCTGTTCGCAATGGGTAAGTTGCTCCTTGACCTTGTACTTCATTCTAATCCCAAGGGATAGAGCTGATTAGTCTTTACCCGTGCTGGTTTTCTTTATTAGACTATAGAAGCAAGTGGTCCTAGGACTGTTGCTGATCCTCTTCTGTAATGTTCCAGTTTTCACTCACTAGTGATTGATGTAACCATGGCCTTGGATACCCTTTCTCTACCTGTGTTGGAACCCCTCAATCCTTCACGTCTGCAAGATGTGACAGTTCTCAGCCTCAGCTGTCTGTATGCGGGTAAGAAGTTATGTCTGCTATAATTTTCTTTAGTCAAACATGGGTTTGATTCGAGAAAGTCATAAAAACCTTGAGAACTCCATTCTCCTTCCTTGGCATCATTACTTCTGAGACTATCTAATATCACATGTAAGGCCAAGGGAAACCGTTACGGGCATTGAAGTGACCCTGCTGTTTAACTGCTGGCCTCAATTTGTGTGTGTGTGTGAACGTGTGTATGTACAGGTGTGTGTGTCTGTGCACATATGTGTGAGTGCATGTGGAGACCAGAGGTCAACTTTGGGTGTTGTTCTTTAGTAGCTGTCTACCTTCTTTTTTGTTTTTTTAAAATTTATTTATTTATTTCCACCTTCTTTTTTGAGACAGGGTCTCTTTTTTTTTTTAAACTTTTTTTTTTTTTTTTTAATTTTTCTTTTTTGTTTTTTGAGACAGGGTTTCTCTGTAGCTTTGGAGCCTGTCCTGGAACTCCCTTTGTAGACCAGGCTGGCCTCGAACTCACAGAGATCCGCCTGCCTCTGCCTCCCGAGTGCTGGGATTAAAGGCGTGCGCCACCACCGCCCGGCTTTAAACATTTTTTTAATTGATATTTATTGAGCTCTACATTTTTCTCTGCTTCCCTCCCTTCTCTCCCCTCCTTTCCCCTCCCCTCTTCAATCCTCCGCCAAGGTTCCCATGCTCCCAATTTACTCAGGAGATCTGAGACAGGGTCTCTTACTGACTGAGAGCTCACCAAATAGGCTGTTCATCAAGTCTCTGGGAGCCACCTGTTGACCTCCTCAGTGCTGAGATTACAAGCATGCCCCACTTATGCCTGGCTTTTTAAAATGGGTTCAAGGGCTGGAACTCAGCTCACAAGGAGCATTGGAGAACAGAGGGCTAAGTGGAATAACATAAGGCAGAATGCAAGGGTACAGATCAAGGAGAGGCTGAGTCTTGCTGTGAGATTGATTTGAGGATGGCTTCTTGGGAAAGCTGGTGCCTGTGTAGATGAAGAGTGTTCTTTGTGTTTTCATACAGCCCCTTTCCTACTGTTAATCAGGTTCCCTCAGAAGTGGAGCCTGACAGCTGGTGGTGTGAGTGTGTGTTCATTCCTGTGCACTTGCTGTTGGTGAGCACATTGTAGAGGCCAGTCAGTGTCAGGTGCCTTCCTTTTTTGCTCTCTGCTTACTTATTTATTTACTTATTTATTGGTTTTCCCAGGCAGGGTTTCCTCTCTGCACCATGTTCATATCTGGTGCATGGATCTCCTAGAACTGGAGTTACAGGCAATTATGAGCAACCCATGGGTGCTGGGTATTGAACCTGAGTTCTCTGGAGGAGCAGCCAGTGCTTTTAACCATTAAACCATTTCTCCAGTCCCCTATCTTTCTTTTGTCCCCTCAAAAATTTAGATTTATTCATTTATTGTTTATGTGTATGTGTGTCTCCTGAGTGCTGGAAATAATGTGCACTGGCACGCCTGGCCTTAGATTTTCTTTTAAAGGTGTTTGGAATGAGCAGGCACTACACGATTTTCACACGCTTCCTTTGAGACTCATGGTACCCTACTGATAATCCATCCATTTGTTGTCACCAGTAAGCCACTACTGACATAGGTGTGTAGCACGAATTCTAATCGGTCTTAATAATAAAAACCCAGAGTCAGATATTAGGGGCCGAGAGCTGAAAGATCAGAGAAGCAGAGCAGCCAGCCCCTTGTTCTTACCTTTACAAAATCCTCACACTGAATGGGGTATCCTGTCTGTACAAGTCCTCAGACTGAATGCTCAGACTAACTGCATTGAGCTCCTGTCTCTTCCCACCTTATATTCTTCTCTCCGCCCAGCCATATCCCTTCCTCTGTCCACCTCCCAAGTACTGGGATTAAAGGTATGAGCCAGCATTGCCTGGCTCTGTTTCTCTTTCAGACTAGATCAATCTTGCGTAGCCCAGTGAAGCCTTGAACTCACAGAGATCCATCTGCCTTTGCCTCCCGAGTGCTGGGATTAAAGTTGTGCACCACCACTGCCTGGCCTTTATCGCTAACTAGTGGCTGATTTCCAAGCAAGCCTTATTTTCTAGATCACAAATAAATATCGCCACACATGTGAACTAATCCATAGTTCTATGTGTGTGTGTTTGGGGGTTGTATGAGTATGTTCCTGTGTGTGCACACGGGTGTGCTCATCTGAGCCTATGTCTTTAGGGGCTTGAGGTTATAATAATCAAGTGTGTCTTCCGCTATCTTTTTGTATATTTTTTGAGATATCATCTCCCAGTAAACCCAGAACTCCTTGTTTGCATAAACAAGGCCAGTGAACTCCCAGGATCTTTCTGTCTCCATCTTCCCTAGTTTTGGGGTTACAGACATGCACTGTGTACCAGGTTTCCATGTGCGTTGGGGATCTTTATTCAGGTCCTCATTCTTGCATAGCCAGTGTTGGCCCAATCGAGCTATCTCCTACTCTCCGTAGGCCTCTTTTTGTGTGGTGGGATTCTGGGTTTTCATAAATGTATAATATCATGTTTTACTGTTATCACAGCAAGCAGAATAGTCACTGCCCCAGATATCCCCTCTGCTGCTCCTTTTATCTTGTATTCCTCCCCACCCTTCACTAACCATTGGACTTCTTACTGTCCCTGTAGTGTTAGCCTTTCAGAATGTTGTGTCATCAGTGTCGTATAGGTTGGAGCCTTTTCACACTGGCTTCTTTTACTTAGCAGCGGCCATGAAGGTTCTTCCATGGCCTTTCTGTGTAGTGCATCCAATTTAGAGAGAGGGAAGGAGGGAGGGAAGAAGGGAGGGGGAGAGAGAGAGATACGTTGGGGATTAAATCTATGACCTCACTCATGCTAGGCCTAAGTGTTATACTTCTGAGTTTATACATGCAACCTTCTTTTTATTTTTTGAGACATGGCAGCCAAGTTGCCTATGCTGGCCTTGAATTCACTCTGTAACCCAGGCATGACTTGAGCCTCAGACTCTTGCATGTTGTGGTTATAAGTATGTACAACCATGCCTGGCTTTGTCTGTTCATCTTGAAGGATATCTTGCTTGATTCCATTTGTTGGTGGTTACAAATAGAGCGTCATTAAATGTTCATGTGCAGATTCCTGTGTGGTGTGGGGTTTTCTCATTTGGGTGAGTAACTAGGAGTATGGCGGCTGGATTATGTGGCAGGACTGCATTTACACTCGACCTTTGGAGTTCTTTGAGGAATCGAATAATGGAATTGTTTGTGGCTAGCGTGTTCCATCTTTGTATCTTGGATTTGAGGCCGTTCGCCAAGATTGAAATCTGTGCCTGTTCTTTTCCAGGCGTGAGTGTAGCCACCTGCATGGCCATTCTTCATGTGGGTAGTGCCCAGCAAGTGCGGACAGGGTCCACAAGCTCCAAAGAAGACGACTATGAAAGTGATGCGGCCACTATTGTCCAGAAATGTGTAAGTCAAGTGTCCGGTGACATGGAAACCTTGACTGTTAACATGTGGGAGTGTGGCTTCTTTTCTTGATGGAGGAAAAGGCTTAGGGTCTCCACACTCCTTCCCTGGACAGTGTTTCTAAGATGGACTCAGCCAAGGTCTTCTGCATATTTGCATTCATAAATGCTCCCCTTTCTGTGTTGTGTTGGTCTTGTTGTAAACACAGTAAGTTTGTGGCAGCCATAAGCCTTGCTTGGGAAGGATTTACTCAGTGAACTGTTTTGGGTTTACTGGGTGCTGATGTATTTTCAGGCAGGACGTAGCAAACAAGGTTTTGCTGTAAGTACATAAAAGGAATTGGTTGGGATGGGAAGCTGGCTGATGCAGGGCTGGGCATATGGGAACACCTAAGAAGGTGTCGTGCCCTGAGAGAGGTACAGGTAGTTCCCCATGAGGTCAGAAACTGATGGTGATAGGTCACCGAGTGACCTGATGACAGTTATACTTCTTCCAGTAAACTGGCTCAGGTTGTAAGGTTTAGATCTGTGATGGTGACCTGAGCTGCTCAGATTATATGTCTGTTTGTTCCTGGGCAGCTTGAGATCTACGACATGATCGGACAGGCAATCAGCAGCTCCCGCCGTGCTGGTGGTGAGGTAAGAGGCTTGTGTGCTGTGCTTACCTCCTGTCAGGTGTGATTTTCCCCGCTGATGTTTGGTTTTGTCCTTTCTCACCAGCATTTCCAGAACTTCCAGCTGTTGGGCGCCTGGTGTCTGCTGAATAGCCTCTTCCTCATACTGAATCTCAGCCCCACTGCCCTGGCTGACAAGGGGAAAGAGAAGGACCCATTGGCTGCTCTCCGAGTCAGAGACATCCTTTCTCGTACAAAAGAGGGAGTAGGCTCTCCCAAACTGGGGCCTGGCAAAGGGTATGTGTCTGCCTCTGGCTCCAGTTCTGGATGCTGTGCTCTGTTCCTAGTTCACAGGGCTCATGAGCTGCTGACCCCACATCAGAGCTTGTGTGTTTGCTTTGGTGCTGTAGATTGTAGCCAGGGTCTGTGCGTGCTGTGCATACCTTGTCCCAAGGGTTCAAGTTAGCCTCTTGCTCTAGCATCTAGATAGGTTAGTTCGTTTTGATCCCATTGCCTCATTTTTGAGAGACAGAACGATTATATGATGTGTGTATTTAGTTTCCAACAAGTTCATATCAAAAGATGAGATATGTGTTGGGTGGTGGTGGTGGCACATGCCTTTAATTTCAGAACTTGGGAAGTGGGGGACAGAAGCAGGCTGACCTCTGTGAGTTTGAAGCCGACCTGCTCTACAGTGTGAGTTCCAGGACAGCAAGGGCTACATATGACCTTGTCTTGGGCAGGTGGGGGGTGGAGGGGAGGTGAGTGGCACTTGCTGGGAAGGAGATAAGGAGATAACAGTGAATGTTACCTGTTGCTCAGGTGGTTCCTTCAATTGAGACATTGCTGGATTTTATTTATTCTTTTAATTCCTTTTTTTTCTTTTTAATTTATTTTATGGGTATATTACTTTTAAGATTTATTTTATATATGTGAATGTTTTGCCTTCATACATATATATACTGTATGCATATCTATTAATCACAGAAGTCAAAAGAAGGCATCAGATCTTGTGGAACTGGACTTATGGATGGTTGTGATTCACCGTGTGGGTGCTGGGAGATCTTCTGCAAAAGCAACAAGTGCTCTTAAGTGCTAAGCTATCTCTCTGTATTTGTATGGGTGTTTTGCCTATGTGTATGTGCCTGGAGCCCAGAAGAAGGCTTCATATTCCCTTGATCTGGAGCCACAGATGATATATAAGTTAAAAGCCATAAGTTATGTGGGTGCTGGGTATAACCTGGCTCCTCTGTAAGAGCAATCAGTGCTCTTATTTGCTGAGCTACCTCTCCTGCTCTGCTCCTCTTTGTTCTTTTTTTCCCTCTGAGACAGGGTCTCTGATAGCCCATCCAGCTTCACACTTGTGGTGTAACTGATGACCTCGAGCTCCTGGTTCTTCTGCTTCTGCTCCCAAGTACTGGGCTTTATAGGAGTCTGTCATCACACCCATTTTGGATTTTATTCTCTAAGTGGAGAAATAACAGCGGTACTAGCAAGTCCATTTTAGATTGTCATAAGTCTTGTGAAAAAAAAAGAGGCCTGAGCAAGAGGTTAGCAGGAGTTATGCTGTGTTTGGAAAGGAATTGTTTAGGTCGATGTGGAAGTAGATTAAGCATTAGCTTCAGCAGACTCAGTGTGACACAAAAAGTGTTTGGCCTGGAGCTAAGGAGCTAGAGGCTTGTGCAGTCATGAGGACCTGCGTTCAGTTCCTAGAACTCGAGTACCTTATAACTGCAGCACAGGAGAGGTAGAGATGGGAAGATCACTCGGGTTTACTGGGTATTGCCCTGAGGAACAGCATCCAAGGTTGACCATTAAAGGTTTGGCCTTTATGCACATTGGTGTGTGCATGTACACACACACATTTTGCATGAGCATCTGGGTTGTATAAGTGCATTGAAATAGGGACTATTGGGTTAGAAGCAGATTGGAGAAAGAGAGGAGTAAGATTTTTCTTTTGTTTGTGGTGAGTTTAGCTGGTGGCTAGGACTTTGTTAATGAGCTGCAGTGCTAGGGTGATTTTTATGTGTATAGTACTCAGTGGAAAGGTTTGTAGATCCTTTAAAGGGGTCTGGGATGCTAGAATGGCAAGATAACAGCCATTTCTGAGGTTGTGCTTCATTGCTAAAGATCTTAGGGTCTGTGTTCTGTTTTCATTTGTATAGGCATCAGGGATTTGGAGTGCTCTCAGTGATCCTGGCAAACCATGCCATCAAGCTGCTGACATCTCTGTTTCAGGACCTGCAGGTGGAGGCGCTCCACAAGGTGAGGTGGCTCTTCTTTGGAGTCTGCAGATTGGTTTGAGGTTTACTCGGCATGCTGGCTGAAGCCATCAGTGAGGGTTCTTTCTTAACAGTGTAATAGGACTAATGCACCTCTGGTTTTGTTGTCTTCAGGGCTGGGAGACAGATGGTCCCCCTGCAGTCCTAAGCATTATGGCCCAAAGCACCTCCACACAAAGGATTCAACGGCTGATTGACTCTGTCCCGCTGACTAACCTGCTCTTGACTTTACTTTCAACTTCATACAGAAAGGTGGGTGAAAAATCAAGCCACTCATAAGTTGGAGTGACGTTGACAAGAGCGTGGTGTTTATCAGTGCAGACTGTGGTGATAGTTCTGGAAAGGAACCCTCCCTAGAACCCCTCTCTCCTCCCTTCTTGCCTCCCTTTCTGGGCTTGCATTCCTGCACTCAAGTGATCCTCCTGCTTCAGGCTCCGTGGATTACAGGCACATGTCACTGTACCCAGCTTGACAAAGACAATAGTCCTTGTAGCTTTGGAAGCAGCTATTGAATGCCAGTGTTAGATCTATGTTGACCCTTGGTGACTTGTGGTGACAGTTCTGGAGCAGAAGCGTGGTGGACACTCCAGGAATGCTCCTTTACATTCCTTGGCCATGTCTCCGGTTGAGTGCTTATGTAAGATAAAGCAGCTAGAGTCCTGCGTGGGGAGCATTTGGGGAAACCTGATTTGAAAAGCAACTGAGACATGGAGACGCTTGTAGGTCGTCAAGGAGATGAAATTGTTCAGCTCTTTTCTGGATTCATCTTTTCTGCAACCTTGTGGTTTCCCTAGGCATGTGTCCTGCAGCGGCAGAGGAAGGGCTCCATGAGCAGTGATGCCAGTGCCTCCACCGACTCCAACACATACTATGAGGATGACTTCAGTAGCACAGAGGAGGACAGCAGCCAAGGTAGTCAGAGATAGCCCTCTAGTTGCTGTGCTTCTCTGTCTCCCCTTCCTGGTTGCCTTTGCATTTATGTGTTTTCAGAGATGACATGCTCGAGGGGCAGGGAGTGCTGGGAAAGTGCTTTTCTAGAACGTGTGATGGATTGGGTTAGCGTCCCAGCCTGGTAAACCAGGTGTGGTGCACTTACCTGTTATCCCAGCACTAGGAAGGCAGGAAGAGGGGTATATGTTCAAGGTCATTATTGACTGCTTTAGTGAATTAGAGGCCTGCCTGGGCTACTTGAGACCTTTTTCAAAAATAATAAGTTGAGTGTATTATACTAAATGATAAATCTTGCTTTCAGCTAAGCCCATGCAGATTTTCATTTCTGCCAGAATCAAAATACATCTCAGTTGCTCATGTTTCCTCCTTTGTTGGCCCATGCTGGGATTTCTGCTCTCCCTGTGCAGGACAAAGGGCCATGTGGCAGGGATTTGGTTTTATTGTGGGTTTGTAGCTTAGGGATGAATAGGTCAGAACTGAAGACTTAGTAGAGAAGATAATTCTCCACTTCCCTTCCATGGTCAAGTTTGTGGGACAGTATGGCACACCAAGGGGTGTGATTCTTAGCATCTTGGGCATGCAGCTGGTGAGACTTGGTTGCTCTTGTAAATGTTTGGCTTCTTTTCAGGCAGGTAGATAAGAGAAAATGGTTTCTCTTCTGTTGTTGGACTCCTTAAAAAAAAAATCAGTTTCACTACACCATAATTAAAGTATAATAAGATGGAAACACTATCCACTTAGTCGTCTTGAAAGATTGACAGGAGCAGTCCCCATCCTTGGCATCAGCATGCTGTGGGGTCTTTTGGCTTGAGCACTTTTAAAAAACAGGTTCACACATACAGAGGTGGTTATTTTTGTGACTTTTCTCTTTTCAGATGATGACAGCGAGCCCATTTTGGGGCAGTGGTTTGAGGAGACCATCTCTCCCAGTAAAGAGAAAACTGCACCTCCACCCCCTCCACCGCCCCCTCCCCTGGAAAGCTCTCCTCGGGTTAAAAGCCCCAGTAAACAGGCCTCTGGTGAGAAGGGCAACATCTTGGCCAGTCGCAAAGATCCTGAGTTGGTAAGAGTAGATTCTGAGGTTCGGGCCGTGGGAGGAGGGGAGATTACTTCAGTCGAGTGGTTGAGCTGAGAAGTGGACCGTCTGAGTTAAAGCGGTTCTAAGTTGGATAATTTTGATACCTAGATCTTCCCCTGTGCAGGACTTTGAGGGAGTAATTATGTATCACTAAAGAGCTTGCTTCCAGTACTGATGGTTATTAGTACAGTCTTCTTTTTTTGGCTTAGATAGAGGTTGATTTGAAGCTTACTTTTTCCTCTTAATGGTTCTGGGCCAGAATCTGAATGTGTTGGGGGGTGATTTGCATCCATCCCAAAAGGCGTTGTGAAGGTGGTTTCAAAGCCTGTAGCATAGGTTTGCTGCATCATAAATGCTTACTTATTGATCCAGCCAATATTGATTATCTTTTGTGTTTCAGCCTTTATCCTGATAATTTATCAGTAAATGGGTCATTTGCAATTCTTTCACGTAGCCTTAAATACCTTCCTATTTCAAGGTTATGAGCATAAAACATTTATGTAATCGTTTAATGATTAGTCTTTTTAAAAAATATTTATTTATTTATTATGTATACAATAGTCTGTCTGTGTGTATGCCTGCAGACCAGAAGAGGGCACCAGACCTCATTACAGATGGTTGTGAGCCACCATGTGGTTGCTGAGAATTGAACTCAGGACCTTTGGAAGAGCAGGCAATGCTCTCAACCTCTGAGCCATCTCTCCAGCCTATGATTAGTCTTTATAATAATGACAAATCAGTGTAATAATAGAGAAAGGGGAGTGTAATAATTATTGATGTATGTAGGGGTCAATCTCCAGTATGTTATTGGTAATGTCTTGAGTTGGACAGGGGTGGGCTCTGGAGGACAAAGGGGAACTAGTGGGTTAGCTCAGAAAACGGGTGTTTTCTGAGGTCTCCATCAAGTGGGTGACCATTCTGTGCAGGTGGTTTTCATTGTGGATATAGTTCTATTGTAAGAATTAAGTGATAGACTTCATTTTTGGCATGGGGGTTTCTGGGTTTGTATAAATTCTAGCTTGACTTTAAGGTTGATTGAAGTTTGTACCACATGACCCTGAACCGAATTGTTTTCTGTTCCTTTTAGTTCTTAGGTCTGGCTTCCAACATTCTGAACTTTATCACATCTTCCATGCTGAACTCTCGGAACAATTTCATCCGGAACTATCTGAGTGTGTCTCTTTCAGAGCACCATATGGCCACCCTGGCAAGCATCATTAAGGAGGTGGACAAAGATGGACTCAAGGGTCAGTGGAGAGGCTGGGTGTTGTTGTAGGGCACTTATGGCTCCAAGTTCCTGAGTAACTGTATCCCTTTGTCCTAAGGGTCATCAGATGAGGACTTTGCTGCTGCTCTCTATCACTTCAACCACTCCCTGGTAACTTCTGACCTACAGTCCCCGAACTTGCAGGTTGGTGTCTACTGTGGCTGCCTAGGCGGGAACGCCTCACACCTTCTCTGTGACATGGTGGCTCTCATCATTGAAGGGTGCTTTGTTCTTACTCTCTGCTGGTCAGAGTTTTGCTTGGGTGTTCTGTGTGCCCCTGTGCAGTGGTTAGGATCTCTGGAAGAAAAAGATATTCTTTTCCCCATGTCATGAAGTTTAAAGAAAGGAAGCAAACAACTGAACAAGCTCCCAGTACTTCTCATAGTAGACCAATAGACAGAACTCACCAAAAGTTGTTTACAAAGTAAGAGTGGCAGATGCTCACCGGTCTGATGGGGAATATAAAGTCAAAGGCACTTTAAAGCGGCCATCAGGTCACACAGGAAACATGTTTGCTCTCCCTTACAAACCTTTCACCCAAACTGAGTTCAAGACCTTCACGAACATGTAACTGCATGAGTCCCTCCCTACTGAAATGGGTGGTGGTTTGAACCCTAAGTCTCAAGGTCCTCATTTCTTTAGTTTCACATTACAGTGAGGATTGCTGTAGCCCTTATTTACATGCCGTGTGCTACCTATCAGGTTTATGCTGTACCGCTTGACGCATCTGTTTCCACTGAAGTCCATTTGATTTGTGTCCAGGCTTATTGCATCCCAAGTGTTGCTGTGATCTTTCTTATCATGTTCCCTGTTGTGGGTGGAGGAGTGTGAGTCTCTTGGGGCTGTCACTGTGAGAGTCAGCACATCAGGCCACACTGCACGGGACTTGCAGTTCTCACTCCCACACAAGGAGTCAGATCGTGTGGATGCACATCCTTTTCTCACATTCGGCAATATCATATTTTAATAATAACTTAGTTGTCTTTATTTTTTATTTTATTTTTTAAAAGAAAAGCTGGAGGGGGAGTGGGGGGAGGGGGAGGGAAATGGGAGGAGGGGAGGAGGTGGAAATTTTTAATTAAAAAACAGCAAAAAAAAAGCTGGGCAGTGGTGGCACATGCATTTAATCTCAGTACTGGGAGGCAGTGGCAGGCTAATCTCTGTGAGTTCAAGGCCAGCTCGTTCTACAAGAGCTAGCTCCAGGAGAGGCTCCAAAATTACAGAAAACAAAACACCCCCCCCCCAAAAAAAAACAGGAAAAGAAAACAAGCTATCCCTTTAAATATTACATACCAATCCCACTCCCCCCCTTCCTCCCATTCCCTCCATCTCCCCACCCCCCTTCCCGCCCATGTACTCCTCAGAGAGGGTAAGGCACATTGCTTTGAGGAAGGATCAAGGCCCTCCTACTATATCTAGACTGAACAAGGTATCCATCCAAAGAGAAGGGGTTCCAAAAAAAAAAAAAAAACTAGTACAAGCAGTAGGGATAAATCTTGGTGCCACTGCTGGTGGCCCCCGCAGTCTGCCCCAGCCATACAACTGTCACTTATGTTCAGAAGGTCTAGTTTGGTCCTATACTGGTTTCTTCCCTGTCCAGCCAGAGTTGGTGAGCTCCCGTTAGTCCAGGTAAGCTGTTTCAGTGGGTGTCCCCATCATGGTCTTGACCTCTTTGCTCATATCACTCCTCCCACTCTTCGACTGATTTTGGGAGCTCAGCCTGGTGCTCCACTGTGGGTCTTTGCCCCTGTTTCCATCAGTTGCTGGATGAAGGTTCTATGGTGATGATTAACATAGTCATCAGTCTGACTACAGGGCAAAGCCAGGTCGGACACCTTCTCTACTATTGCTTAGGGTCTTAGCTGGGGTCGTCCTGTGGATTCCTGGGAATAACTTTTCTCTAAAGTGTGCATCCTGGGTCAGCGGTACAGCTCAGCGGTGCAGCTCAGTGGTACAGCATGTGCCTGGTCATGCAGGCCCTGACTTTGATTCTAGCACCACAGACAAAAGGATCATTTCTTTTGGATACCCTTCCCAGTGCCTTTATTCAGTGATCTCCACATTTGACTGGAAACTATTCTGAAAGTTTTTCTTTTACTGTTAATTATTTCAGTGCCTATTGCTCAGAAGGCTGAGGCAAGAGGATTGCAAATCCAAGGCTATCCCTGGCAACATAATGAAACTTTAATCTCAAAATATCCAAACAAAAGTGATTTCAGCAGATATATTTTAGGGGCTTGTCAATTTTTCCCAAAGGGATAAATCTTGCAAGCTATTGGAAAAAGTTAAATTCTCAGAATCCCAAACTGTTGGCAGAATCTCTAAAGTTTTCTTCTGTAGTTTAAGAAGATGGTTATGAAATGTGTTAATTCCTGCCTATTGTTAAGGGAAATATTTTGGCAGGAAGGAAATGAGAGTTGAGTGAATTATTAAGAGTGTGGCCTCTGTGGCAACTTCCTATACTGTCTGAAGCTGGTCCTGCACAGTGCTCAGCTCTTTCCCCCAGTTGGAGTTTGTTTAGGGAAGCTTCAGTGTTCATAACCTTGTTTTACCTAACTCGTCTAGAGAACAGAGACGAAATACTTTTCTCTGGACTGGAGTCCCTAGGCTTCTTGTAGTGATGTTGCCCTCAGCATTTGAGAGGGAACTGCTAATGTGTGTGTGCAGACTTGTGACATCATGACACAGGGAATTCCCAACCTCTTTTCATCCCTGTCTGTTTGGAGGCTGTCAGTTCACTAGGAAGTGTATGCATTGCTGTTAGTGCAGTGCTTGGCCTGGAGTAACTGCCTGGTACTTGAAACAGCCCTTGAGATCCATGGCATTGGATTGATGCTGAATTCCAAGGAGTTGTGTTATTAGGGATCCTGAAAGATAGAATTTAGTTGGTCAGAAATTTCTTCTAGTTGTCAGATGGTAGTGGTTCATACATTTTAATCCCAGTACTCAGGAGGCAGAGGCAGGTGGATCTCTGAGTTCAAGCCTAACCTGGTTTACAGAGCAATTTCCAGGATAGCCAGAGCTACACAGTGAAACTGTTGTAGTAATAGGAGCGGCGGGGCTGCGTCCCCAGCACCCCGGCCGCCCACATGGCTAGCTTATGCCCCGAAATAACTACACAGACACTGTATTCTTTTAAACACTGCTTGGCCCATTTCTATCTAGCCTCTTCTCGGCTAACTCTCGCACCTGGACTAGCCCATTTCTAATCATCTATGTAGCACCAGTCTTACCGGGAAGATTCTAGCCTACGTCCATCCTGGGTCCATCCTGGGTCGGAGCTTCATTGCATGCATCTTCCCGGGAGCGGGGAGCATGGTGTCTCTCTGAGGCGTCTGCCCCCCCCAAGAGGAGAGCTGTCGAGTCTGAGCTCACTTCCTCTTCCCAGCATTCTGTTCTGTTTACTCCTTCCACCTATGTTTTAACCTATGAGGGCCAGCCAAGCAGTTTATTTTTTTAACCAATGACCTTCCTCCATCATTTCCCCTTTTTCTGTTTAAACAAAAAGGAAAGGCTTTAACTTTAACATAGCAAAATTACATATAACAAAACAGTTATCAAGTAAAAATTACAATAATCTTTATCATAACTAAGGAAAACTATAACTATAACTAACTATTCTTAACTCCATCAAAGACTCCAGAAGAATACAATATTACCTAAGCAAACAAAAAGTAAGCAATTTTCAAAACCTAGAAATGACAGAGAGATCTCACTGCCTGTATAGTCACCCAAAGTTCCTCTGTACCATTGGGGCATCAATCTTCAGCCTTCAGGCCCATAGTATCCAGCAGACATTTCCATGAAGCAGGAAAATTCAAAGTCAGTCCCTCTCCAATTCCAAGCCTGTTAATAAGAGAAAAATCCAGAGTTTCTGGAGTTTCTGTCCCATGTCAAGAGCCATGATATGGGACAGAAAGAAATATGAGTTTAGAAAACATCTTTGCTTTTCTCCATATCTGTCATACTTTTCATTGAATATATCTATCATGCCTTTCAGTGGATATATATATATATATATATATGATTAATGTTTAAGTTTTTCACAATGAACAATGAGTTTTTCCTGAAGTGACATTTGAAGTTTCCAGGAAAAAGATGGGGCCCCAGACCTCATTACAGATGGTTGGCTACTATGGGCCTGTGTGGCCTAGTGTGTCTCGGACTCGGCACTGGGGCCCGAGTCACGAACTAAAAAACAGCACCCAGGAGGGTGCTGTGTTAGCTAGCGGGCTACCCGCTTGAGTCGGGGGCAAAATAGCCCGATGTTGGACGCCAAACTGTGTCTCGAAAAAAACAGAAAAAAGGGAAAAAAAGAAAAAGTAATTTCTTCTAGCATGATTTGTGCCTTTCACAGCCGTATGGCAAATGAGCCATCTGGGTTGTGTTCCGATGGCACCTGCTCACTGTGTGCGCCCTTAGTTCCTTGGGAACAGTACTCAACTGGAAGCAAGGACAGCTGTAGTTCTTCTTTCTCAGGGATCATGGGCTTCTGGTCCACCAAAGGGAAGGGAGTAGAAGGAGTGAGCAGGGCTGAATGGCTTGTGAGTCCACTGAGATCACTCTCTGGGGAGACAGTGTTCCAGAATGAGAGCGGGATATAAAGGCAGGGGACAATGGTGGGCATCACCTAATTTGCATTAAACAGCATGCTTCTATCATAAAGTCCTTAGTACAAGTCCTAGTTACTTATGGAAGGGGAGGTTGGGGTGCTCTATCAGGGAACTTTGCCAAGGGTCACACTAGCGATAAGTCAGGCCAGGCTTAGGGACAGCTTTCAGATAAGGTCAGGCCTCCAGGCCTAGAGACCTTCTCCAAATAAGGGCAGGTAGAAAGCAAGAAGTCTTGCTGGGGATGGGTCCTCCATGTTGCAAATTCTGGGAGAGCCTCCAGGCCATGGCAGACTGTAACTGATGACCAGCAGGGCCTCCCAACAGATGGCCCTATTGAGTAACACACATTGGCTTCTCACAGGCAGCATTTTTCTACTTAACACAAGTTGTCAACCCCCGTGGATGTTACTTGTCTGAGGTAACTAGCTTAAATGAAGTCCACTTAGCCAGGTGTGCTGGCACATGCGTTTAATTCCAGCACTCAGGAGGTGGGTTTCTGTGAGTTCAGGGCCAGCCAGGGCTACCCAGAGAGATGCTGTTTAAAAACAAACAAAAGAAAACAAACAAACCCAGTCCACCCTGCTCTGACATGTGTTGAGTTTCTTCTAAAGGCTTCCAACTCTCCCTTTCCAGCCATTTTGAAAACTGCTTTGATTCCATTGTCTCCAAGCACTTGTCCTTTCTAAAGCCTGCGTAGACACTAATTAAACTGCAGGTGTGATTGGGGTTTGTCCTGTTTTTCTCATTTGGTAGGCAACATAATTTTTCTCCAGATTTCTTTTTTTATAATATTTATTTATATGTATACAATATTCTGTCTGCTTGAATGCCTGAAGGCCAGAAGAGGGCACCAGACCTCATTACAGATGGGTGTGAGCCACCATGTGGCTGCTGGGAATTGAACTCAGGACCTTTGGAAGAGCAGGCAATGCTCTTAACTGCTGAGCCATCTCTCCAGCCCCCTCTCCAGATTTCTTTTAGCCGTATACTCACAAGTCCTTTTGTTATTTATTATTCATAAAAGGAGCTTTGGTGAATGAACAACCTTTTGACTTGTTCCTTGTCTCTCTTTTTTCCAGAATACACTACTACAGCAGCTAGGAGTTGCTCCTTTCTCCGAGGGCCCTTGGCCCCTGTACATTCACCCCCAAGGCCTCTCTGTGCTCTCTCGTCTCCTGCTTATCTGGCAACATAAAGCTGGAGCACAAGGTGACCCTGATGTCCCAGAATGCCTGAAAGTGTGGGACAGGTAAGACTGTAACAGAAGGTCTGTGGGTGATTGAGTGCTGTGTGCAGGGGTTTCACTGGTTGGTTGGCAGTCTGACTGGGAGAAGCTTCTCTCTGTCTGTATAGGTGGGTGGAGAAGTGATGGGGAGTGTGGAGGATGTTCTGTTAAACAGTGTGGTCTGAGAAAAGACACTTCCAATAGCCATGGGAGATTTGGTTACAATTGCCATTCAGAGCCTGGATTCCAAAGATGACCAGTGTCCTGAAGGAGAAAGGCCTCAGGTGCTTCCCACACAAGCGCATTTAGAGTGGCTGCTGCAGTTTTGGATACATTTTAAAGAACTTGTTTCCTTGGGGGAAGCTCAGCTTAATCACCCAAATCCTCAGATAGACCTGTTTTTTTGCCATTTTTTTTTTGTTTGTTTGTTTTCATGGTTAGGCTTCAAAGCTGTTGGTTTCCTAAAAGGCTTTGCTCTTCTATCCCCTAGCCCAGGATCAAATAGCTGTAATGTTGGATTTGCAAGATCATAGCCCTCTTTGAATGCCAGAGGCTCACTGTGTTCTTTATGGTATTCTGGGAGCTGGGATGAAGGAAGGGCACCCATGTTAAAGTACAGACCTCTTTCCTAAAAGCCAAAGAACATGCAGACAATGGACTGTGCTCATTCTTTTTTTTTTTTTTTTTTTTTTTATTAAAGGCTCTTCTGACAAGTTCCCAAATATTATAATATTCTCTTCCCCACTCCCCTTCTGCCACCCCTCCTCCTGCCTGGCTTAGAACTCTGTAGGTGTGCGCTTGTGCATACATGGCAGTCAGTCCCATGTGCCACATCATTCTTGGAGAGGTCAGAGGTCAACTTGTGGAGTTGGTTCTCTCTTACCATGTGAGACCTGGGGTGGGAACAAGGGGTGGCAGGCGTGGTGGTGAGCATCTTAACCCCACTGAGCCACCTTGTTGGTCCCACATCTGACTGTTTGGCTTCTCTGCACCAGCTTTTCTTTTCTTTAATTTGTTCTCCTTCCAGCACTGGGTGCTGTAATCTTGGGGCTTTTCTGCGTTTTCTCCACCAGACATGCTCCCCCTTTTTTGTGCCAGGTTTTTGTCTACAATGAAGCAGAGTGCACTGCAGGGGGTGATGCCCAGTGAGACAGAGGACCTGAATGTCGAGCACCTGCAGCTGCTGCTCCTCATCTTCCACAGCTTCTCTGAGAAGGGCCGCAGGACCATCTTCACCATGTTGGTGCAGAGCATCCAGGAGCTGAGTGTGAACATGGAGGTTCAGATGCGCTCCGTGCCGTTAACCCTGGCGCGCCTCCTTTTGATCTTTGACTACCTGCTTCATCAGTACTCCAAAGCCCCTGTGTATCTGTTTGAGCAGGTGAAGACCTGTACCATCTCCTCTCTCTCCTGAGAGCTCCATTCTTTTTTTTTTTTTTTTTACGATTTATTTGTTTATTATGTATACAGTGTTCTGTCTGTGTGTATGCTTGCTGGCCAGAAGAGGGCACCAGATCTCATTACAGATGGCTGTGAGCCACCATGTGGTTGCTGGGAATTGAACACAGGACCTCTGGAAGAGCAGTCAGTGCTCTTAACCTCTGAGCCATCCATCTCTTCAGCCCAGAGCTCCATTCTTTGCAGGCAGTAAGGTTTTATTTGTGGCTCTGAAGGCTTTATGGGGTAGGGCTAGCTACGTCTTTAGGTTTAGACTTGCTGTTTAGCTTGACATGATAACTGGAGGCTACTTGATGGGTTTGTTGACTAGTGGGTGTCATCTTGTTCACTCATGACTGTTCTTTCTCAACCAACCTACTTGCTTGTGTAGCTACAATGCCCTCAACTTTGGCTCCACATGTGCGTTAGTGTCTGGGGAAGGGTCTCACAGTAAATGCTGTAGTTGTAGCCTTTTTTGACAACACCAAAGAGGATGAGACGGTGGGTCAGAGATTCTATGCTCGGCAGTTTTCAAATTAATTCCTGGAGCAGTCTTCCCCACGATGCATTATCAGAAATTACTTTCCAAAAGAAATCATAGAAAAATCTTCCAATTTTCATTTGATGCTAACAAGTTTTTGTATAACTAGATCTGTTTTTGTCCTTGGTGTGAAAAGCAGGTAGTGACTATACCCTTTACTCGAATGTCTGTTGTATTTCAAAGGTGCAGCACAACCTGCTGAGTCCCCCCTTTTGGGTGGGCAAGTGGATCCCAAGACAGCAGCAGCCGCCGGGCCAACAGTCCTCTGTATCATGGGTTCAAGGAAGTAGAAGAAAACTGGTCCAAACATTTTTCATCAGGTCAGAAATAAGATTGTCAGCAAGAGGGTGATGACTTCTGGTCCTTGTTGGTGGCACTGAATCTGTAGCTCAGTGACTCCTGGAGGAGCTGTGGCCCTGGGCCTCAGTCTCCCCCTTGACGGTGGTCCATCACCTGCCAGTTCAGGAAAATTGTAGAAATTGATTTTCATATGCTTCACACTTGATTAACAAGTTCATCGTTTTCCAGATGCAGCCCCACAACCCAGGTTCTACTGCGTCCTGTCCCCAGAGGCTTCTGAGGAGGATTTGCACCGACTTGATTCTATGGTACTGGGAATTTTCTTTTATTCTTCTTTTCTTTCTTTCTTATTCCTTCTTCTGGAATTTTCTTTTTTCTTTTCTTTATTTCTTCTTATTCTCTGGAATTTTTTTCCTTTTCCTTTTTCTGCCTTTTTTCTTCTCTTCCTCATCCTCTTTTCAGAGTTAGGGTCTTTTCTTATGCTCTTAAACTAACTTTGAAAGCCTGAGGGTGGTCAAGCAGTCATCCTGACTCAGCTTTCTAAGTAGCTGGGGTTATAAGGTCTGGCCTGCCCCGCCCCGCCCCGCCCTGCCCTGCTCAAGAATTTTAAAGCCATTTTTACCTGTGGGTCAGATGCTTTCCACTCCCCCACACTGAGTGCTCTTTACTACACACACACACACATACACGTCAGCATTTGACTGTCTTAAAGGAAAACTTCAGAAATTTAACAAATCATTCAACAAAATGGTTACCTTGCTCTCTCATTCTAAAGCCTGCAGCTGTGTGCTTGTATCAATGTACAAACTTAAGTGTGAGGCCCAGAACTCGTAGTCTGCTGCAAGGAGAAACCAATTAAGAATAAGTTGATTGGATGTTTTTACAGCCAGGAGACTAAGTGATCATGTGAGGCCAGGAGGAGAAAATGAAGAAAAAAGTGTTTGCCCCCCCCCCCCCCCCACCCCCCCCGCAGGGTCTCCCTCTTCATCCCACTGGCCTGGAACTCAGAGATCCCCCTACCTCATCTCCCTGAGTGCTGGAATCAAAGGTGTGCAACAACACCTAGACCTAAATTGTTTTTGGTCTTTCTTGGTCTCTTTCTTGGTCTTAGGCATGTGAAGTTCTTTTCTCCAAGCTTGTCAAGTACGATGAACTTTACACCTCACTGACAGCCCTGCTTGCAGCTGGCTCTCAGTTTGATACAGTCAGGAGAAAGGAGAATAAGAATGTGACTGCTCTGGTAAGACTGTGGACCCTGGGAGGGGCTGGGTCTGCGTGTGATGATCGATCATTTTGGCCTGAAGCTCCTTTCTGGGCCTAAGCTATTATTCGTCATTTGTTTGCAAAACCGACTGTTTCTGTAGCATTTCTACAAAGTTTGCATGGTTCTGTCAGCTGTAATTTTATGTTTTGGTTAATGTTGAGTGGTATGTAACTGAGGCTTGGTGACTGCCTACATGTTAATGGCTGGGTGTTGTGTCATGTTAGAAGGCTAACACATGAGCTTTTATGCCTGTTAGTGCATGTGGGTTTCTAGATGCCTTAAAACAGGTCTGCACAGTTCCACGCTGTTTATTAAAGGGCTGTCTGATTGCAGCCCTGCCCAGCTCCTGTCCTCTCCCTTGGTTAGATGATAAAGTAGGGGGTGCCAGGGCTGTTGGAGAGTATCCTCGTAGCTTCTCAAGTGTAGAGAACAGAGCATACTGTCATAGTGTATCTGCCTGTTTGGTGTAATGCTCTGAGACCTCTCAGTTCACACTGGGCACCCAGTTCTGTGTGCTGAGATGCTCTGAGGGCCTAGTTCACACTAGGCAGTTCTGTGTGCTGAGATGCTCAGGGCCCTCTCAGTTCACAATGGCACACAGTTCTGTTTGAAAGGCTATCTTTTGGAACCTCAGGGGCCTCTCAGTTCACAATGGCACACAGTTCTGATTGAAAGACTATCTTTTCTAACAGCTGTTCTGTTAGGGAGATCTTAGCATGTCACAATGCTTCCACTGCTTTGTTCACCTCCTCAGGAGGCCTGCGCCCTGCAGTATTACTTCTTGATACTCTGGAGGATCTTGGGAATTTTGCCACCTTCAAAGACTTACATGAACCAGCTGGCCACGAACTTACCTGAGATGAGTGAATGTGACATCTTACACACTCTGCGATGGTCATCTCGCCTCCGGATCAGCTCCTATGTCAGCTGGATAAAGGTACCACAGGGGAGCTCAGTGCTGTGAGGGAGTTCCACAGGCTACTTGGTTCACACTGTGGGGACTTGTGAAGTTAGTGAAAGCTTTTGGATTTCCAGGTTATTTTCCTAAACACTCTTTCTTGTTGTCCAAATAGGATCACCTTATCAAACAGGGCATGAAGCCCGAGCATGCTGGCTCTGTCATAGAACTGACCTCCACCAAGTGTAGCTCAGTGAAGTACGACGTTGAGATTGTGGAAGAGTACTTCGCCCGACAGGTGTGCTATTATTCTAACCCTAACAACAGAACCAGGCTCTGCTATAGTCTTTTGTTTTGCTATAGCTAATTAATATCCTGGGTCTTTTTAAAGATCTCATCATTCTGCTCCATTGACTGCACCACCGTCCTGCAGTTGCATGAGATCCCTAGTCTGCAGTCCATCTACACCCTGGATGCGGCTATCTCAAAGGTCCAGGTCTCTCTGGATGAGCACTTTTCTAAGATGGCTGCAGAGACTGACCCTCATAAGTCATCTGAGATCACCAAGAACCTCCTTCCAGCTACGCTGCAACTCATTGACACCTATGCCTCGTTCACTAGGTATGGAGACTCACCTGAGAGATCCCTGGGGTGTCGGCTTGTACCCCTCCTTGTGTGCCAGCTTTGCGTTTTCCCTGTAGTATAGAGTGTAAAGGGGTGACCAAGAGGCAAAGTCACAGGATGTTGAATTTTTATAATTCCATGAAGGACTTCTAAGCTGCAGAGAATAGGAGTTTTTCTGAGTGCCACCATTCCAGTTCTCAGTGAGAATGAAGCACTCCCAGGGCTTCCAATTTACTGTACCAGATGTAGGAGCAATTACTAACTCTGTTTTGAAATTGTCTCACTGTGTTGTTTATTCCCGACCTTGTGGCAGTCTTCCTGTCTTAGCCTCCTGTTGCTGGACTTAGAGGCCTGAGAGGCTGAGAGACAAATATTACTAAATGGGTTGGAGGGTATTTCAAAACCTTTCTCTTTCTTCAGCAAACCTTGTAAACTACATGTCCTATAGAATTTGCTCAGCAAATGACGTTTAAAAGGTTTAAAATTCTTTTTCAATATATACAAAGTGGAGATCGCTCACAAATTGAGACTTCTTGTTTTTCTTAAATTGGAACTGGGAGATTCTGTCCTCAGTACTGGGAGTGAAAAGAGGGAACAGTCAGGCACGGTAGCCTATGCCTGCAATCTTAGCACTTAGGAGGCAGATACACAAATAATTGACTCAGCTACATGAGACACTGCAAAGTGTGGATGGGCCTGCTCTTTGCAGAACCTAGGCTTTGCTCCGCCTCCTGGGCCAGTGCTTCCAAAACTGAGCTGCTGGTGGATTTTCCCTGGCAAATAAGCTGGGAAATGTTAGGTAAATTCAAGCTGAACAGGTTTTGTTTTTTTGTTGCTGTTTTTGTTACTTTTATTGATTTGGTTTTTTAAGACAAGGTTTCTTTGTATAGTCCTGGTTGTCCTGGAGCTCACTTGTAGATTAAGCTGGCCTTGAACTCCAAGAGATCCACCTGTCTCTGCCTCCTAAGTACTAGGCTTAAAAGGTGTGAACCACCACCACTTGTCTTATTTTTTAAAATATATCCTCAGAGTATGTATGTGTGTGTGTGTGTGTGTGTGTGTTCGTGTGTGCACATATATGTATGTATAGGTTGTTGGTCTTCCAAGATGGGGGATGGAGGATAGGAGTGAGTGTTCAGTGCCCTTCAGATTTGCTTGTCATGGAATTGTATTTTGGGAACTTTTCTGAGGGTGGACTGTTCTTTGGGAAGCTCTTGCCCTTTGCCCATGGAGGGGCCGGCACTGTCACCTGTCTTTGAATAGACTGGGAACAGATGGTTCCTGAGCTTTAAGGTTAGTTTCTTCTGAGCATGGCAGGACTCAGTTCCCCCACTCTCTTCTTCCTCTTTTCCCTTCAGAGCCTATTTGCTCCAGAACCTTAACGAAGAGGGATCCACTGAGAA